GAAATTCCGCTGGGAGCAAACTTTTGTGTACTGAACAAAAATGTTTATACACGAGTCATGGTTGTATAAAATACATTTCCGACTTACAAAATATTTTTCCACGCTATTTAGAAGCGCGCTATCGCCTATAACTTGTTCATCTATATAAATCGGCGTCTGACTTGAAATCGATATTTGATTTACAACTTCTTTCAAGTTGTTACATATTTATTATAGTGCAAATGCGGGTAACATTTGGTGCCCACAGTCACGTGTGCTTTATTTAATGCAAATGAAGTTAAGTTCAGAGCGCATCATAGGGGACTAAATCTTGAAGTACCTTAGCCTTTAGCTTCTTATAATTTAAACCCCAAGAAACATTAGAATTCATCACGAAATAACTATCACATTTATTAATTGGAAAATCTTTGAATGATATTTGTTCATTTAATCATATCTGATCTGCATCTGTATCCGATGCTGTATCTGATAGATCTGTATCTGTAATTTTTCTCTGTTGTATAATATTCTTAGTTATAACATTTTATCCGCAGATAATTGTCTTTTACTGTATTCTGGATAGTCATTTGTGAACTTAATGGTTATTATAACTGTTTCTGACTTTTATACATCTACACGGAATTGATGTCTCATTTCTTTCTTCGTTTATACCTTACATACCCATGTAATTGACGGTTCCGTGGCGCACTGACTTAGCAATGAGTTGCAGCGCTAAATCCCGCGGGTTCGAATCCCGCACGGAACAAGAATTTGTATGGCTTACAAATAATTGTTCTGGATCTGGTTTTTTTTTATAGGATAAGGGTGACAAACGAGCACACAGTCCACCTGATGGTAAGTGGTTGCTGTGGCCCATAGACATCTACATCTATCTTGTGTTACGAATCAAAACGCAGATACGTTGTCACCCGTGAGGACTAAGATATAATTCCTCGTTTCCAGTAAAAAGGGTCTGGATTTTTTTTTAATAGGATAATGTTGACAAACGAGCACACAGACCACCTGATGGTAATTGGTTACTGCGGCCCATAGACATCTACATCTATCCTCTGTTACAAATCAAAATGTAGATGCGTTGTCACCCGTGAGGACTAAGATGGAATGCCTCATTTCCAGTAAAAAGGGCCTCCGGCCACCTGCACTCACCAAGCGAAACGCAGAGGTAAACCTCTACTTCACGCTGGTTTTCTGTGAGGTCGTGGTACTACCCCGGTTCGAGCCGGCCCATCCGTGCGACAGCAAAAGCTGCCGCGTAGCTCTACCACTGTTAAAACTGGATGTTTGTTCTTCTGAAATTTATGCATGTAAACTGCCCCCACAGGAGAAAATGTAGTAACGTTTTTTTTTAATTAGATAAAAAATTACAACCCCCAACTTGAATAAGTATTTATATTTTATACAAAGTTATCTTAGACAATCTGACTGGAATTGATACTTAATAAACTTTAAACAATCAAATATGTAAAGAATATAAATTCACTACTAAATTATAAATTCGAACTAAGTTGTTTCGTTTGACAGTATTTAATACATTTAACGGGATATTAATGAGCGCAGCTTGCCCAGCTTGGTAATATCGGTCGCTGCCAGATCAGATAGAAGTAAATATGCGCGGGCGCACGCGCCACGCCCGACTCGATCTTTACTTGATTCTGCTCAGGTTGTGTTGCGAAACAAGGACTCGTATATTATTTTAAGCCATTGACCTTTTTCTTTATTGTATTTAGCCTTAAATTGCTATATAAACTATAAGCTGGGAATGCTTAAATCATATAGTTTTCCCAGCTACAAGTCAGATTAGGTATATAATTTAATAGAATTAGGTATATAATGTGAAAACCAGCGTAAAATAGCAGCTCAACGCTGCTGTGTTTCGCATGGTGAGTGTAGAGAACCGGAGACCCTTTTTACTGGCAAAGAGGCATTCCATCTTAGTCCTCACGGGTGACAACGCATATGCATCTTGAGTCTTTATTGAGGATAGATGTAGATGTCTATGGGGTCACAGTAACCACTTACCATCAGGTGGACTGTGTGCTCGTTTGTCACCCGATCCTATAAAAAAAAGAGTGTGTTTTAGGGACGTTAAATTTATTTAAAATAAAGTTGTAACAGGCACCTAATTTTTATGTTGTAATGTCCACATATTTATTTTTAAATCGTTCCTCGACTTTCAATTACCTTTTTCGACCTTCAATTATTTTAAATAACTTTCTAAATGTTTCTAATGTATAATTCTTCATTGATTATATACTACTCATCATCCGATTAGAGATTTTGTCAAGTAATTGAAAATTATCTCTATATAAAAATCAATTGCTGTCCGTTGGTGTTTGAGTGGGTCCTGGGATGGCTTAGATTCACAATTAGACTCGGTAGGTGGAGCTTCTGTTGGGTTCGAGATATCACCCGTGCGAAGCCGGGGCCAATCACTAGTCAGTAAAGTAAATTAAATATTGAAATTTTAATGTCTGCTTAGCTAGTGGACAGGTGCTGTCAACTGTATCTCAAGCTGCCGTAAAGTAAAAAATCTTATAAGCAAAGCAGGGTTTACCTTCAAAAGGGATTCTGATGAAAAGTTGTAGCTATCAACCTTCTATCATTTTTAAAAGTTTAATGGGTGACAAACGAGCACACAGTCCACCTGATAGTAAATGGTTGCTGGGGCCCATAGACATCTACATCTATCCTCGTCTGAGAAATTAATATGCATATGGTGAGTGTAGAGAACCGGAGGCCATTTTTACTGGAAATGAGGCATTCCATCTTAGTCCTCACGGGTGAAAACGCATTTGCATATTGATTCGCAGACGAGGATATATGCAGATGTCTATGGGCCACAGCAACCACTTACCATCAGGTGGACTGTGTGCACGCTTGTCACCCTTATCCTATAAAAAAAAAAATAGTGTTATTGATAAAAGATTTTTTGTAGTTTCTCAGACAAGCCGGTTTGTTTATGCTGTCCATCGTTGCTTCACGTAACAATTTAGCTTTTAAAATGCAATTAATATTTTTAGTGAATGCTATCTGTCATCAAACTTTTTATAGCGTTCTATGTTATTTGATATAAATTTTAGGCGAAAGCTCGGCCCCTAAGTAACGTTTACTAATAGACCATAGACATTGTGTAACTGTGTGGGTCTTCAATTTTACACGATTAGTTTTTAGTTTAAAAAAAAAGTACGTTGTGAAAATTTCTTTACAATCACATTAAATAATACATATTCACAAATGATACTCCTGCTATGTCTAGGAGTCAGTAATGGTATGTACCACCCTCTTAACCTATTTCTACCGTTAGTGTTCCGGCCTGACGGTTATACAAAGCCAATAATATAGGCTGTGAGGCACTCCATTTCAGTCCTCAGAGGTAACAACGCATCCGTAGGCGTTTTTGATTAAAGTTGGCTGCAGGAATCAGGTGACCATCAGCTGGACTGTATTAAGTTCGTGTGATCAGATTACATCAGATGCTGCTGTGTTTCGTTTGGTGAGTGCAGAGTCAAATACCCTTTTCACTGGAAACGAGGCATACCATCTTAGTTGATTCTTAATCGATGATAGATGTAGATTTTTTTTATAGGATCGAGTTACAAACGAGCACACAGTCCACCTGATGGTAAGTGGTTGCTGTGGCCCATAGACATCTGCATATATCCTCGTCTGCGAATCAATATGCAAATGCGTTTTCACCCGTGAGGACTAAGATGGAATGTCTCTTTTCCAGTAAAAAGGGTCTCCGGTTCTCTACACTCACCATACGAAACACAGCAGTGTTAAACTGCTATTTGACGCTGGTATCCTGTGAGAGCGTGGTCCTTCCCAGGTCGAGCCGACCCATTCGTGCTACAACTATACTACTAATATAGCTGCAGCTTGGCTCTACCACGTAAAAAATGTAGATGTTTATGGGCCTCAGCATCTACTTACTATGAGGTGGACTATGTGCTCATTTGGCAACTCTATGCAAATAAAAGAAAAAGTTTTATAAAAAAGAACGAATAAAGGGCAAACGACGAACATTTATAAAAGAAAAAAATTTACAAGCTTTTGTCATACCAAGGCAATAAAAAAACTAATTACTCTTACGGACCCCGTTATTTAAGAGATTTAAAATTACTAAAAAATGTAAAGCACTTCATGATTGCAATGCTACACATGACATCGGCGAAGTTCAAAAAACACTCACAAAAAAATTCACTAATGCGCTAATAAGTGATATTATAAACATCAAAGCTACCGCCGCAAGCGTTAAAGACGCCTCGTCGAGTTTTTTGTTAATTTCTGGTTCAAATGAAACAGCATTTGGAGCTGGCGTATCTTTGAGAGCTGAAATAACTGCAAAATCCGCGAGAAATTAAAATTATGATAAGAATATGTCACTTCAACTATGTATGTAACTACTTGGTCGAGTGTACTTCGCTCGACGAAGTAGTTAGGGGTTAAAAGTTGAATGTGAAAATATTATCTTTTTACATTTTCAGTAAACTACCACAAGGAAGCTTTATTTTTGTTGTTGCATTTAGTTATATTTATATATTTACATATTTTACTACATTAATATTCGGCTACCATTAAATCCCTCTTTCAAATTTAATTTTATTAATGACTTTCTTCCAATCTTCTCGACGGCTCCGTGGCGCAGTGGCTTAGCAATCAGTTGCTGCGCTGGGCGCCGCGGGTTCGAATCCCGCGCGGAACAAGCTTTTGTATGGCCTACAAATAATTGTTCCGAGTCTGGATGTTTGTCCTTGTGCAATTTATGTTTGTAAACTGCCTCCACGACACAGGAGAAAATCCTACTGTAAGGGGAACCTTTTTTTTTAAAAAAAATTTAGTTATACCTACATACATTGCTTTACTATTAAATCTCTTGTTACTCATTTTAACTTTTTTCAAGCTTTTGCAATAATTTCATAGGCAATTATGTGAGTTTTATTTTAATGAACGCATATCTCATTTAACTAATATTTTCTTATTGTTAATTTCTCCCTTAGGCCCCTCGTTTGTCAGAACGGCGCCACCTGCACCAACTCAGTGGGCGGTTTCTCCTGCATCTGTGTCAACGGATGGACGGGTCCTGAGTGTTCTGTTAACATCGACGACTGCGCCGGTGCTGCGTGTTTCAACGGAGCCACTTGCATCGATAGGGTCGGTGCTTTTTACTGCAAGTGTACCCCGGGAAAGACTGGTGAGTACCCTTGTAATTTAGTCCTAGGAAATTAAATAAGGATCAGATGAACAAAAAACTTAAGAATGCAAGATGAAATCGAGATTAATTTCGAGTTGAAATTGTTTGTCGTATTGTTGTAATTACAATTTCCAACTAACATAATGTTTGCACCAGGTCTGCTCTGCCATCTCGACGATGCCTGTACGTCTAACCCTTGCCATGCGGACGCTATCTGCGACACCAGTCCCATCAACGGCTCTTACACTTGCTCCTGTGCCTCAGGATATAAAGGACTCGACTGTTCGGAGGATATCGACGAGTGCGAACAAGGTACCCAATTTTAATTGACATTTTGTTCCTTCTTATCGTTTCTATGGTTAAGAATTTTTTTATGTAATTCATTACTTAAAATTAGAAAGTAAGTAAACATCAAACTGAATACTTAATTAATTAAACTAGATAATATTGTTTATATTTGAGCTTGAAGTTTTCTTCTGTTACGAGTATTTATTTATCTTATTTATTATATCATACATTTTAATATTTAAGTAAGATAATCAATTAAAATTGTAATTAATTGTTTTTGATATGAACTATTTAAATTTAGTTATTCAAACAAAATATGTTTACTGCAAAACTATGTTTAATTTTAAAAGCGTAGACTTCAAACTTACAAATTACTATTATCTACGAACTCTAAAAACAGAATAACTTTCACCAAGTGTTTGAAAACGTGGATCTCATGAAGCAATTCGTCGATAGGATCGCCTTGCGAACACGACGGCACTTGCGTGAACACCCCGGGTTCGTTCGCGTGCAATTGCTCGGTGGGCTTCACCGGGCCGCGCTGCGAGACCAACGTCAACGAGTGCGAGAGCCACCCCTGCCGGAACGACGGCTCCTGCCTCGACGACCCCGGCACCTTCCGCTGTGTATGCATGCCTGGTAAGTACTATCTTATTATTGTTAACAAAACTAAGTAGTTTTTTTTTAAATAGAATAAGGATGATAAACGAGCACGTAGTTCACCAGATAGTAGGTGGATGCAGTGGCCCATAAACATCTACATTTAAAAATGCAGATGCGGTGTCACCCCTGAGGTCTAAAATGGAGTGCCTCATTTCCAGTAAAAAGGAGTCTTCGGTTCTCACAGTCACCATACGAAACACAGCAGCATTAAGCTGCTACTTTACGCCGGTACTCTGTGAGAGCGTGGTCATACCCTGGTCGAGCCGATCCATTCGTGCTACAACCATAATATAGTTTCAGCTTGGCTTTACCAAGTATAAAAGTATTGAGTGTTTTGTCATTCGGATTTACTCATATTTTTGACAGATTGATAGTGTTATAATCAGGCAAGGTTGGTTAAAAAGATTGAGTGTATCTGTGTCAGCACCGATGTTGCTGGCGCTGTAATATTTATCCACTGTGTTTATTGCTTCCGATATCATTCGAAACTAATGTGATGCTCATCTCTTATTAGTTCGACATAGTTATATAGAACCTTCTGCTGTGTATGCAACCTGCATGATAGCATCCTAACGGATTTCAAACTTTCTGTAGAACCTTTTTAGTGTATGGCCTGTACTGTATATGTAAGCCTAGTACCTCTACATACCACCTTCATACAGAATTTAAAATGTATGGTGGTATATTTATATCTGACAGTAACAACTTACCATCGGGTGGCCTATATCACAATACTCGTTTGTTATCTTCATTCTAATGAAAATTAAAAAAAAAACATCGTAGCAAGATGTCAACAATTTACTCTTAGATAGATAACGTAAGAAATGTATGCGTACATTTCCAATGCAAATGCCATAATATCTGTAAAACACTTCCGCGCAACGGTACACATGGACCACCTCGTACAATTTGCCCGCCGGTGACAGCGCGGTGACCGTCTGACTGTCATTACCATTGGACTGAGACGAAGGTGCGTGAAAGGGATAGTTAGATTACAGTAATATTTGTAGGGTTTACAAAGTTATCTTACAAAATTGAGAATAGTTTATATAATTTTCAAAGAACTCCTTACATATATGAAGCAATTATGAAACGCGTATCTGAAAAGTGTTATTTTAAAAATTATTATTTTACAACCAAACAGTTCATTACAAAATTAAGAGCTCGTATCAAAATCGAAAGAAAAAAAAACAATAGTTGGTTATATTTTTTGTAGTAATAAATTAAATGTATAAAGCTACTAGGCAGCCCTGATCATAGTTCCCATGAAATGGATGGAGAGCGGCGCCCGCGCATTGTTTTGACGCGGAAACGTTACGAGTTAACACAAACAATGCAAATTCATCTGTAATGGATGTATTTTAAGATAATTTTTCGCTCGTTTACAATTGTGTGAATTCACTATTAATTGGATAATGATCTATTTGCATGTCTCGCTCTTTTCGCCACTACGGTAACCTATTCTTTGCCGTCTAACCAGGAAATTGACTCTTATTACCCAAATATATGTAGCAATTTTGAATAAAGCAGTGCAAACTATTTTTGCAGCTTATCTGTGATCTAAACTGGAATTAAAACAAGTTACTTGTAATTTAAAAATATAGTTTTACATTGACATTAAGATTTGTTTTGTAATTTCTCACACAAAATACGGTACCAGTCATGCTACTTCCTTACCAAACATTACTAGTAATTTTTCGTTTTCGTATATGACTATATAAATGGATAACGTTTTTATTTTAGTTTATTTTATACATGTGCTGGGAAATAAATACGAGCCTATCTATACATCAGTTGTTCTTTATTAATCTGAAAAAGTGTACTGTTGGACGTGGGCCTCTAGTTGTAGGGACGGTTTTTTTTTTACTTATTATAAGCCAGTGCTTGACCACAATCCCACCTGGTGGTAAGTGGTGATGTAGCCTTAGATGATAAATCGCACTGTTTGCCCTTACTGTTATATTTGGCAAGCCGATTATAATGTTTCTGACGTCGCGTCGGTCTAAATATTTTACGTATGGCGTAAAAATGTTTATACCGCCATCTGTCGTAGAGTATAAGATCTTTCGAGCATTACCTATAATTGCCTTTAACGGCTGCCATGGAACGAAATTCGGTGATGTAGGTACTGTTTCCGCCACTACACAGCCAAGTTTTCTGGCAGCATATTAATTAATATTAATAAAGAAAATATTTAGTCAATTCTTAACACCTAGGCGAAATTTGGTGGTTAAGTGAGCACACAGGTCAGGTGAACTTGTAACTCAGTGGTAAGTAGATGTTGTTCACCGACATCTATAAAGCCGTAACGACTAAAATCCCCGGTTCTTTATTACTTACCAGCGTAAATGAGAATACCAGCGTAAAATATAACAAAGCAGTGTTATATTTTACGCTGGTATTCTCTGCGTGCGTTGTTCGTCCACGGTCGAACCGACTCATACATACCATAACGCAGCTACATTGTAGCTCCTGCCATACGAAATGTACATACATTGTAATGGATTAAATCCAAACCGAAAATTAAGGATGACAAACGAGCACCACGTGATGGTAATCTTCAATCAAGAACAAAAATACAGATGCGTTGTCATCCATGAAGACTAAGATGGAATGCCTCATTTCCAGTAAGAAGGGTTCGTTACACTGATCATACGAAATACGACAGCATTAAACTGTTATTTTACGCTACTATTCTGTGAGGTCACGGTCCCTCCCCGGTCGAGCCGACCCATTCATGCTACAACAGCCTCTACGACGTGTAAAATCATCAATATTGATTGTTGGATTGACGTATATGTTCTACCATTTTCTTGTCGTTAAAAGTTTTTTATGCAATATTTGAAACTTAGAAACTATTCGTTGGTTGCCAGCCCCTATTTCATTTCTCTCTGTCGTCTCTCACGACACCAAGCTGTCCAGCGTGGCAATTATATAAAATAGATAGTCTCACCCCTGTAAGACTATGATATAATAATTATGATGACAATTTATATTTCGAATTCGTCGGTTTTTGAAAATATTTTTATATAGAATAAAGTTGACAAACGAGCACACAGTCCACCTGATGGTAAGTGGTTGCTGTGGCCCATAGTCATCTAGATCTATCCTCGATTACGAATCAAAATGCAGATGCGTTGTCAACCGTGAGGTCTAAGATGGAATGCCTCGTTTCCAGTAAAAAAGGGTCTCCGGTTCACTACACTCACCATACGAAGCACAGCAGCGCTATGCTACTATTTTACGCTGGTAGGTATTCTGTGAGAGCGCGGTCCTTCCCCGATCGAGCCGACCAATTCGTGCTACAACTACTTTTAATATAGCTGCAGCATGACTCTACCAACTAGAATGATATATATCTACGGATAGGCCACTAAGCAGAATAATATTAAGTAGTAATAGTAAGTATTATTATATAATTATGTATGTGGTATTTAACTTTGGTCATAAATTAAATCACGAAACGTAAACATTCACTTTACCCGCTATCATAACCGTACCGTTTCACGGTATTGAAATATGAGCAGAGTTGTATTCCATTCCTGGACAAGTAATATTTAGCCACGTCAAAGGTGCGCATGCGTATGAATACCCGGCCACATTGTCAACGATACAAAAGATGTCAGCGTACGCGATGATGCGGACATGCGGACGCGACCACTCATCGGAACGGCCCCCTATCCCTCTCTCACATTATAATCCAACTGAATAATGTAGATCTTTCTTACGTCTCACAACATAACAAAGATCTATAACTCTTCAATTCGATCACATCATTTAGTCCTACAAGTGACGTGTAACCCGATAAAATTGGACGAACCTGCTTAAAGACAAGCATCCATTGTAAAAGTGGGCGCTTATTTTCATTCGTATATTACTTATATCATGCACGAGTGATCCCGAACCCGTCCAGCTAGTGGTCTAATAAGGGCAATCGTGGTATGACGGCGATATAGTTTTTTTTTTTTCACAATAAAATATGTCGACTAGTACTTTGCACTCGGTTTTTACTCGAAGACTGCGTTACGGTTGAAGAAGACGGGGCGAGTTGGCAACGGTCGTTTGTGAATTTATTTTGACTGTTAATGTATCATAAAAAATAATGATTACGACAACGATTCTATATTGTTTTTTTCGTAATTTTTTTTATTTTTTATTATATATACTATATTAAAAACTATAATAATAATAATAAAAATAAACTAAAACTAGAAACTTAACGATTTTATATGATTTCAATTGGGTGTATAATTGCGAAACATTAAATAAGCTAATCTGTTATTGTTTCATAAGAGTTAACAGTTAATTTGAGAATGTAATTCCTGGGCTGTCTTACATAACTATTATATTTTAAAATTGAAATATTCTAAAAGATGCGTACACTGGTTAGAACTTTGTTGAATTTGGCGTAAAAATCAATTATTACCGTCGAACCACCTAAAAATATCATTATATTATATTCCTTTAATAGGGCATAATTTTATTAACTAAAAACAAAAAGATTAAATAAAAGCAATTGGTAATACACAGTTTTTTGTTAATTACATTAATTAATTTTCATTCGACCTATCTATAAAACACATATTTACATAATATATCATATAGATACTTGTTATAATTAAAACAGAATCAACAGTACCATAAACCTACTTTGATTAAATGAAGAAATGTTTTTCAGACTCAAAAGTCAGGTCTTACAACATTCTTATAAAATGAGACGAGAGACGGCTCGCGGTTTTTAGAATACGCCTTTTTCTAAACGGCTACGACAGGTTTTAGAAACTGGACGGGATAAGGTTTTGCCTTTTACATCATAGCGGTTAGTTAAAAAAAAAATGTTTTTCCCATGATAATTTATCGAACAAACATATTTTCCTATTACAGCGGTTAGCTAGAGTCCTTTTTACTATACCATATCACTTAGTAACCTAATGAATTCATTCTTGATTTGAATCCACTACTCGCGCATCGTAAAG